TCTCTCTCTCTCTCTCTCCCTCCCCACTCTCTCTCTTCCTCTCTCTCTCTCTGGTTCTAGTCTACGGAGCACGGGCAGGATTTGTGCTGCAAGCAGGACGGCGGCGCGTCGTCCGCGACGGATAACTACATGGTGATTGGTCGGGACACGAAGCAATGGCGGGCGTGCCTCGCGCTCATACAGGGAGACGACACGTGTGAGATGCCGCCGCTAAGCAACCCGAAAAGTACGCGTCTGCTAGAAATGTCAACGTAACATGCAACACATAAACATGTAACGTTAGTGTGCATCGTAATACTAAAGATAACACATGTAACATGCAACACATAAACATGTAACGTTAGTAAATATCTTAATACTACAGCTAAAAAATGTAAGCATGTAACATGTAACACATGATACGTAACACATAAACACGTAACACATAACACATTTAACAAAACACATAACACATTTAACACATAACACATTTAACACATAACACATAACACATAACACATAACACATAACACATTTAACACATAACACATAACACATAACACATAACACATAACACATAACACATTTAACACATAAAAATGTAATATGAGTAATTGAGTATTATTATTAGTATCAGGAGTGAATAACAAGAGACATATCTATTATTATTCACTCCTGATAGTATGTTACATTGTAAACACGTGAAACAACCTATGACCGAGACGTAACATCTCGACTATGTAGACTGCCGAGTGTTTCTGCTGCACCCGATCACTAACTCAACATCTGTGTTTGTCGTTCCCAGCCCAGAAACCGTTACAACTCTACGCGCCGCTACAACCCCCGCCCCTAGCTGACAGCCAGCAACAACAGCAGCAGACGCCACAGACGCCGTCATCGTCATCATCGTCGTTGTCCACGACAGCATCGGCAGCAACAACGGCCGCGAGTTGCGTTGGATTCGTGCCGAGACAGCGGCTGCTCATACTGACGGTGCGGGACAAGCAGGTGAGAGATTACATCATGCTGTCGTGCGTTACATCATGTTGTTACACGTCATTACATCATGTTGCTCATCCTGACGGTGCGGGACAAGCAGGTGAGAGATTACATCATGCTGTCGTGCGTTACATCATGTTGTTACACGTCGTTACATCATGGTGGCACATGCGGGCTGTCGTATGTTACATCGTGCTATCACACGTTACGTTATGCTGTGTAATGTTACATCGTGCTGTTACATGTTACGTTGGGCTATCACACATTACATCATGATGTCATGCATTGCGCTCGTTACGCGCTATCAAACCCCAGACAACAGGTGTAGTAAAACGTGATGCACACTTGTTTCATGCATGCGATGGCATGCATCAAGGTGGCAGCACTTACCAGCCTTGACTCCCCGCGCGCACCTCCAGCAGCTGCATGCCGTGCCGAGCGACGGGATCGTGTTGGTACTGCGTGTCGTACTCACAGCTGTGCAGCGGACGCCGAGGCTGCCTGTCCATCAACATCTCGTCAAAGCTGCACGAAGAAAACAACGTCGTTACCGCGGCAACGCGGGACGACACGCGGATCGTCGTTACCGTGTACCGTGTCAACACACGATACACGTGCAGTATATACTAATTATAATCGACTTCAAAAAAAATTATATAGTCTAATATATAAGTCTAAAGTCTAAATATATAGCGTAACAGCTCAAAATATATAGATCATATTCAATATATGCTATCCATGATATTATATATACATCATATATGGGAGTATAAGTGGTACAGCCTGGCTACCATAACCAAGGCAATAGCTAGATACATAGGCTATGGTGACATGGCGACAGTACAATTGCGACAGTAACACGGCAGGGGTACCTGGGTAGCGGAGTCCTGAAGGTGCGCGGACCGCACTGGTTATGTGCGGTCCGCTCGTGGAGGAATCTCGCTCTGCTGGCGGCCGGCGACAGGCGCTGATGAGAGCGTCCAGAGTTACTCGACGCGGACATGTACGGCGTTGAGGCCCCTCCCCGCTCCCCGCGACACCGCCGCCCCTCCTCCCTCCTCGTCCCCCCCTCCCCTGCGCTGCCCCCGGCAGCGCCGTGGTCCTGACTGAAGCGACTGTGCCGGTAGAGTCCCATCTTCTGTGCGACGATGGAAGTGAGGAGGTGGCAGCACGCGCGCGATGCCAGAACGGTCAGGCGAGAAGTTGCTTCTCCAGCTTCCAGGACGAGTGTCCGCGACAGTTGTACGTGTACAGAGTCAGCTGCTAACGACCAATGATGAATATGTGGACAGCCACATGATGGAAATGGTATAGCATGAATGTAATGTGTGATAGCATGATGTTAGAGGTGTGATAGGGCACGAGTAATGCTGTGATAGCATTGATGCTAATGCTCAGCAGCATGATGTAAACGTGTAATGCATGATGTAACTGTACTGATAAGCCATGATGTAATGTGTGGCAGCCTGACGGGAATGTGTAGATAGCATAGATGTAATGCCATGACATCATGATTGTAATGTGGTGATAGCATTGAT